CCTACTTATGAGTAGCCACCTACTCTTTTCCCCTTCTGCCTCAGCCTCTCCTACAACAGTTTTGATGGATGATTCATAACTGCAGTTTGTCTTGGCTGTGAGCGCTTTCCTAAAATAAGCAGCGACAAGAGGGATGCAAAGGGAGGAGGCATGTGTCAGCTTCTGCATTCCTCTTGTCATTGCTTGTCTCAGAAAAGGGTTCACAATAGAAACAAGCTACAGCTATAAATCAGCCGTCTCCTTTACAGCTGTTGTCAGACCAGCAACAGCAGGAGAAGAGGGGAACATGTCAGTACTCATACCTAGGGTAAGTAAGAACTTATAAACATGGGACAAAGTATTACATGTACTTAGTACCATAGGGGACAGAACTATAAAATACAAACTTTAATGATGGATCTTCTTTAATGTCTCTAACCCACCCCAGCCTCAAAAGGCCTGTTATTTCTATCAAACGAAATACTTAACCAAAGACTAATCAGTCTGTATTAGGTGTTTTCATTTCACCTCAAAACCCTTGTTTTCCTTACTCAGCTGACATATTACTGACTGACCTAAATATTGATTGTTTTATATCTGTCCTGTGTTATGTAACTCCTGTACATTGCACTACAAAATGTGTTATTTTTTAAAATACAAATGTATACAAGGCCCCTTTCACATGGCGAGGACTCCACCTGAGATCTGTTTGCTCAGCGGGGGATCTGTCAGCTGATCCCACACTAAGCAGGCCAAAGACAGGTCTTATGCAGAGCAGATTCAGCCCACTCTCCTTCGTGGGTGGTTGGATGTAAATGGACCAGCTGTCCATTTATACCTGACTAACATCTGATTTGATCTATATAGATAAGAAAATATAAACGAGCGCTGGGTAAATGAAATATATAGTATATAGTAAAGAGCAGCTTGTATAAAAGGTAAAACCTCTAAAACCTCCTTATAAAATATATAGACATAAAATATGCAGCGCTAAAAGAATTGATGATACAAAATAAATACTAAAGCGTACATAATAAACGTGTGCAAATGAGCCCTCTGAAAAAGTGTACTCACACGAAACACGTTAGGGAGGTGCCCCCACACACTGACCACAGCCCGCATGGTCCTTATGAACGGCCAGCGGCCATCTTGGAAATTTTAAATGTAAGTTTATTTACCTGCTTTTTATATTACACTCTTAAATAAAATACTACACTATTGGATACCTCTCTTCTGGGCTTGTTTGTTCTGCGAGCCCCCCCCAAGATGATTCCTGCCACATGAGATCCTCCTGGTGGCTGATGCCTGAATACCTGGAGATACCCTTGAACGCATATCACCTGGATGCTGCTGGCCTGATGACCTTTCATGTTGCAGTGCTCCAGATCCAGATGACCAGGAGTAGGTCTTATTTACTCCAATGCGCAAAAAATTGCGCTATCTGGTTAGTGCAATCAACATTTATTCTCTAAGCCACAGAAGTCACTGATTGTTTCACCATTTCTCAATACCACCGGATAGATTGACTTTGTCACCAATGTCACTATATGCACCTTTTTTCGTATGATATACCATATTGACTCACATCATTGGTTTCAGTGCCAAATAACTTTGCTCATTTGCACACGTTTATTATGTACGCTTTAATATTCATTTTGTATCATCGATTCTTTTAGCACTGCATATTTTATGTCTATATATCTGATTTGATCTGCCCAGATGGAGGGGAACAGGTCCCCATCTATTTGTTTTTAGCATATTGGATCGAATTGAATGTAGATGGCTGTAAACGGACACATCCATTCACACCCATCACTCCATAGAAGAGAATGGAGGGTCCAATTGGGTCCACCTGAAAAACAGATAGGTAGACCTGATTGGAATGATCATGTGAAAAGGGCATTTGCCTTACATTTACTACGTAGAGAACCCAGTGTGTTAATATATATATATATATATATATATTAACACACTGGGTTCTCTACGTAGTAAATGCAAGGCACATGCATATAAATATATATATAAATATAAAATATATCTCACCTTCAATCAATTTTAATTCATCTTCTCTGCAGCATGGCAACTATAGCTGTAATCAGCTGTAGCCCCAAGAACAAAATGTAATATACTGCAGATTACTGGTACTTAGATGTCGTGGCTATATTAGGTTTCACCCGGTGATCCTGCCAGTAACATCCTTCCTGTTCTAGGATGACAACGCTCACTCATTGGATCGCATGTACAGAGGATCAGCAATGTCACCCTAGTCTGCTCACTCCCGAATGGAACCACAAAAATGCTTCCCTCTCTATTCACCTCTGAAAAATTGGGGGTTCTGTATTCCATGGAAGAAAACTGGTCAGGGCACTACACTTATACGTGTCTTTCTTTCTTTGCCACAAATCTAAAAGGTCAAGTTCCACGTTTTTATAATCAAAGTCTGGGTTTATTGTACTTTAAATTTTCCATGAATGAACAATATGAAGGCCTGTATTTTTGTATTATGTGAGGCAAATTGATGTTTCAGAACACGAATGACTGAATAAAGCAGCATAGATTTAGGATATTGGCACTGGAAGACTGATTGAATGTACTTGCTGATCAAAGATAGGAGGTACAAAAGATAGTAACATACTGCTGATGAGCCAGAGAATGGAATGAATGTACAGGCAAAGCACTTAGTGCTGATAAAGATGTATGCATAATAAATGCTCAGTTATCCTCATGTTATTCATGCAGTGTGTTATTGACAAGTACATTATCTTTTGTGTCTACAATGTAACTGGACTGACTACTTCAAGGTCATTCTGCATAGAGCAGTGTACTGATCTAAAAATACTGTTATTTTTGCTTTGTATATAAAAGTGACTGTAATTGGTAAAGAAAATATCCTTACCAAGGCTGTCCCATTTTTAGGTGCCTTGTGTTGATTTTACTCTGGCAATCGCCTTCAATTTCGGATGGCCTGCAGCTTCATGACTTGCGCTTCTGTTATATGTAGAAGCTGAAGCCCTGAAGTTTTAGCTAATCAATGGGTGATCACTGGAACTGACAAATGCAGCAGAGGAGAATTGTTGAGTCCACTAAATGTTTTTGCTGAGCCTGCCAGTGTCACTGTATGCTGGTTAAAAGTCATGTCAAGAGCTCCTACCTCCATGCTTCTTTCTGTGTGAAAAGGTGTGAAAAGGCTGGTCTTCATTTTTAGCAACTAAATACAAACAAATCGGTCCACACAAGTCAGAGCCTGCTACTGATTAAGCTTCTGAAAAGTCATGCCCAGGGGCAGACTGACAACTCATGGGGCCCCCGGGCAATAGAGGATCATGGGGCCCCTGTGTCCTAGCCCACACCCAAAAAAGCCTATGAAAAAGCCAATGAAAGGTACCAGGGGCATCTCATGGGGCCCCCTACTGACCCCGGGCCCTCAGGCAGCGTCTGAGTGCTCAAATGGTCAGTCCACCCCTGGTCATGCCTAGGTATAGTTAGTGATCCACACAACCATGTTTTGTGACATTTTGCCGCCACATGTTTTTCTTGTGATATTGGAGGACTTCCCCAGCATCCCTAATGTTGTTACAAGATCTCATGTTTCAAATCTAAAGCTGAAGTTTATTGAAAAAATGGTTAAAGGAAAAAGAACCAGGGATATAACTTATCTGTGATATAGTGTATCCTGCATCTTGAAGGCTGATGATTCCTGTTGAAATTGTCCCTTACTGGTGCCCTTTCTCTTGACATCAGGCACTCATTGGTTAACTGTTTTGGTTGAATGTGTTTTTGTTTGTGAACATCATATCCTGACTCTCCGACTATGTCCTTCTCTTCTGCCCTCCGTCCTCCACTAAGAGAATTCCTTACAAAGAATGCAAAACATTTTGTGAGTGGAGGAGAAGGATTATGTCATTTATCTGCTTCTTCTCCACTCACAAAACATTTTACATCCTTTGAATGGCCAGAGAGTCTAGACAGGATCTTCACCCAAGCAGTTAACCCATATAGAACCAGAAGCTGACTGCTGTGAAGAGGACCGGCATCAGTAAAGGGAGGATTTCTACAGGAACCATGAACCTTCAGGACAAAGGGTACATTTCATTAAAGGTAAGTTATATCCCTGGTGCTTTTTCACAAATAATATTTTCTCACTAAATGTCAGCTTTAATTCTTGTGATGAACTATGGAATAAATAAATACATGCGGCTCATAAAAAGTTCTTTTGGTCATCATACTTTCCCATATGACATCACAGATCCACAAAAAATATTGCTGCTGGAGAATCTCTCCCAGTCTGATTCTGGGATTACAGGTCTGGAATTTGAAGCAGGTAACTATATAATACCAAGCATGTGTCACTGACTGCTAGACCTGCTGTGGACAGTGACTAATGAAGGCCACAGGTATCTTATCAGTATATCATAGCGCCCCAGAGCAATATATCCCTGGTTATACAACTCCTTGTCTTTGCTTGGGGATCCCATTTCTGATGGCATTGTCCAGACTGTTTTGACCCTTTTGATCCAACTTGAATTGCATTAAGGCAGCCCATTCATAACGCACCAAAAAAGAGCATGTACTATTTCCTGTAATGCAGCACACAATAACACTTGGTAATGTGATACTGTGTGCTGTCATGTACTGCAACACAGGTGATTGGCAAAGTACTTTGGGGTAGCATTAACCGCTTCCCACCTGGCCACTGGACATAAGTGGCCGGTGGGATAAGTTGTGATATGGCAATCTGGCTTGCCCATACGCCCTTCCTGTCTATGGGGATGTGCAGATTCCTGGCCCTTGGACACAGCACATCAAGGATTGGGAGATCCACACTCTGAATGGCCCTTGGAGTGATGTGATGGCTGTGATTGGACCACCAGTGGACCATCAACATCTTTCAATGTCTCTAGTGGACTGCCAACATCTGTTGGTTTCCTAGTGGACCCTCAACATCTGCTGGTGTCCCTACTGGACATTCAACGTCTATCAGTGTCCCAGTGGATCATCAACATCCGTCAGTGTCCCTAGTGGACCATAAACATCTGTCGCTGTCTCAGTGGCCTGTCAATATCTGTCGGTGTTCCCAGTGGACTGGCCACATCTGTCACAGTGTCCCAGTGCACATCAACATCTGTTACAGTGTCCCAGTGCACAACATCTGCAATAGTGTCTCAAAGCACCAACATCATCTGCAATAGTGTCAACATCAACATCTGTTGGTATTCCCAGTGCACATCAACATCTGTCGGTGTCCCAGTGGGCCATCAACATCTGTTGGTGTCCCAGTGCACCAACATCATCTGCAATAGTGTCCCAGTGCAATATCAACATCTGTCAGCGGGTCAGTAACTGATTCAGAGGAGAAAGAGGTCCCAACAAGGAGATTCAGGTGATCTAAGGAGGAGCAGGCAACCGCCAACAGCACTGTACATCCTGATGAAGTGGAGAGCACCGGCAGCGCAGTACATCCACATGATAGGCCAGGTACTAGTAGTGGGGTGTCATGTGCATCACAAAGAATTAAGGTCCATACCACCTAAAGTATTGCCATACGCTGGATTAGTAGTAAAATGTGTTTTGGGGTGTAATTCTAAGTATGCCTAAACTGTGTTTTAGAAATAGCAAAAATTACATATTCAAAAGACTTATTATGTCTCACAGAAAATACATTGAGGTATTTGCTTTCCAAAATGTGGTCATTTTGTGGGTGTTTCCACTGTCTGGGTGCTCCAGGGTCTCCAAAATGTGATAGGTACTCTGGAAATTGGATGTGTAATTTATGCTCCTATAATGCCTTGAAGGTGCTCCTTGGATGTTGAGCCTCTCTATGTGGCAAGGCTGTGAAAAAGGCTCACACATGTAGTATCACCATACTCAGAAGGAGTATCAGAATGTATTTTGGGGTGCATTTCCTATTATGTCCATGCTGTATGTTAGAAATAGCTTCGAAATTGACAACTTTCTGTAAAAAAAAGTCAAAAGACTCATTATGCTTCAAAGAAAATACATTGGGGTGTTTGCTTTCCAAAATGTGGTCATTTTGGGGGTGTTTCTATTGTCCTGGTGCTCTAGGGCCTTCAAAAATGTGATAAGTGGTCAGGAAATTAGATATGTAATTTATGCACAATTTATACTCCATGAAAGTCCAGAGGTGTTTCCTAGATTTTGGGCCTCTCTATGTGGCAAGGCTGTGAAAAAATCTCCCATACTGGGAAGGAGTAGCAGAATGTGTTTTAGGATGTATTTTCAAGTATGCCTATGTCGTGTATGAGAAATAACTTGTTAAAATTAAAATTTTGTGAAAAGAAAAATAAATTTTATTAAATGTTTTCATTTTCTAAAGAATTTTGGGAAAAAAATACAACTTTAAAAAATTCATAATGCCTCTTAATCCCTTGGGGTGTCTAACTTCTACAGAGAAGTCATTTGGGGGGTATTTGTACTGTCCTGACATTTTAGGCCCTCAGGAAATGAGATAGGCCATCAGATTTACATAAGGATTGATCGATTTTCATATATATGTACTATAATTGTAGATTTTCACACAGCCTAAATAATATACATTGAGTTGGGTTATTTTTATCAAAAAAATGTAGCTGAATACATTTTAGACTGGATTTATGAAGAAAGATTTTTTATGTGCAAAATGTTATAACATGAACTAAGAAAATGCATTTAAAAAAAATATATATTTTTTGCTTTGTTTAGCAAAAAAAACCACCCAAAGGTGATTAAAAACCTCTAAAAGTTATTTGGCCAGGGCAGTAAGTGTGTGAAAGTGTCCAGTATCCAGTATCGGTTAAGAATGAATGGAACCACAGAGCACCAACAAAACATAGTGCATGTTTTTACATAGTGCAGTAATGTGAATTTGGCCTTACACAAGCTGGTAGCATACAGGTTTGCTTTTGTCTAACAGCATTAGGAATTTTAAAATACGTTAGATGAGTAGGATTTCTTCATGGTTGCAGTCTGCTCTGCTTGACATAATTGAGTTGGTCTACTAAAGGCAAATAGGCTGTTCACTTTGCAAGGGACGTTGCAAAGTCCCAACGCTTAGTGAATGCAAAAGAATACCAAACCCCATGCAAGCAAAATATAGTAACAGCATTTTTGTTTGCAAGTGATTGGATAATGACAGTCAGCAGAACTTCACCTCATGCACTAAGCTCTGGGGAAAAATCTCTTTGTAAAAATGAACAGCCTATTTGTCTTTAGTGAACCAAAATCAATATGTTTGATTTTTTCTATGTTTTGTTTGGAGGGAGAGAGGCTTCCTAACACAAATAGGTGTAAGTGTTTCATTCAATTTTTGTGAAAAATCGAGTCATTTGTCTTTGGGGTACTTTAGCAGGAAAAGTCCATGGCAGTGAGGAAATGACAGAGTACTTACCATGCCACTAATGGAACCCTGATTAAAGCACTCGGAGATTAATTTACTAAAGTAGTAGAGAATCTTTGCAAATGTTCGTTTACATTAGCTAATAAGATTTATTAACCTCCTCCCGCCCGCCATATAGTAAAATGACGGATGCAAGGCGGTTCCCTTGTTCTGGGAGGACATCCTATGACATCCTCCCACTCTAACTGCGCATGCGCAGCTCCGGGAGCCACGGAAAGACCCGAAGATGTCGGCTCAGTCATGTGAACAGCTGTGTCATATCACAGTTGATCACATGTAAACAGGGAAATGCCGGTTATCAACATTTCTCTCCTCACGAGCTGTCACGCTGACAGCTCGTGAGGAGAGGAGAGCCGGTAATCGGCATTCTTCGGAGAGAACATGTACACAGATCATCAGGGCACTGATGATCAGTGTGCCCTGTTGATCTGTGTAGCCCCAGCAGCGCCACCTGTCAGTGTCCATCAGTGCCAGCTCTCAGTGCTCATCCATGCCACCTGCCAGTGCCCATCAGTGTCACATCAGTGCCACATTTCAGTGCCCATCAGTGCGACATCAATGCCACATATCAGTGCCCATCTGAGATGCCTTTCAGTGTCACCCATCAATGCCAATCAGTGCCACCTATCAGTGCTGCCAATCAGTGCCACCTATCAGTGCCAGTCAGTGCGGCCTATCAGTGCCAGTCAGTGCCACCTATCAGTGTGCATCAGTGCTGCCTATCGGTGCCCGTCAGTGCTGCCTATCAGTGCCACCTAACAGTGCCAGTCAGTGCCGCCTATCAGTGCCAGTCAGTGCTGCCTATCAGTGCCACCTATCAGTGCCGCCTATCAGTGCCATATATGAATTCTGCCTTTCAGTGCCCATCATTGATGCCTGTCAATGCCCATCAGTGCCACCTACCAGTGCCTCCTCATCAGTGTCCATCAGTGCCACCTATCCGTGTCCATCAGTGCAGCCTATCAGTGCCCATCAGTGCAGCCTCATTAGCGCACATCAGTGAAGGAGAAAAATCACTTATTTACAAAATGTTATAACAAGAACTAAAAATTTCAGTGGTTTTTGGTTTAAGAAAAAATAAAAAACCCAGAGGTGATTAAATACCACCAAAATAAAGCTCTGTCTGTCACAAAAAAATGATAAAAATTTCATATGGGTACAGTGTTGCATGACCGCGCAATTGTCAATCAAAGTGTGACAGCGCTGAAAGCTGGAAATTGGCCTGGGCAGGAAGGGGGTATAAGTGCCCTGTAGGCTAGTGACTAAAGTGAACACAGCTCACTCATTATTTACTCAGTAAAGTGAATATTCACTAAAGGGAAAACTCTCTGCTTTGTGGGCTGAAGGCTGTAAAAGTGATGTCACTGCAGTAAGCACTAATACCAGCAGAGGGAGATGTGGGAGAAGTTTGAACAATATTGTTTTTTACATCCACTCTCCTTTCTCTATGTAAATGAAACTAGTTATTGAGACAATTAAGTGTTTTCTGTTAAAGATTTAGTCATAGCTTCCAACTGTCCCTTATTTGGAGGGACTGTCTCTCTTCGGGACCAAATCTCTCTTTCTCTCTTACCTCCTTTGTGGTCACTCTTTTTGGTCTGATATATAAACCTTTCATTCTAACCTTAAATTATTGCGTTTGTTATTTTAAAAAGCCAATGTAGATGTAACCAATCTTTTTTTTTTACAAATGAATTCTTCATGATCTGGATAATAGAGGTGTGCATTTGCCTACATACTTTGCAGTATAAGGTGTCCCTTTTTCTAGTTTCTGAAAGCTAGTAGGTGTGGTTGCTCACAATCTTTGGTCCCAACTGGGTTTGACTTCCATTCTCTTGGTGGAGTGATGCAGTATATGATTGCCTAGTGGCTCTACTACTGCTGTCCATGGCAAACAAAATGGCTTTACCACTGCTCCTATGTTTATAGGGTTTTGCCAAAAGGCAATATGGAGAATTCACTTCTGAGAACTGGACGTTTAGTCGTGACAGAACATAGCACCATCTGTCACAGTTAAAAAAGGGAAGGAGGAAAAATCTGGAGGGAATCAAACCCTAACTCCACCTAAAATTATAAAAGATTGGTATATTGTCTATTTGCCATATGTCGCTATTTTTACTAGAGATTTACTAAAACTGGTGCACACAGAATCTGGTGCACCTGTGCATGGTAGCCAATCAGCTTGTAACTTCAGCTTGTTCAATGAAGCTTTGGTAATAAAACTTGGAAGCTGATTGGTTTCTATGCAGAGCTGCACCAGATTTTGCATTCTCCAGTATTAGTAAATAACCCCCCTGTCTGTCCTACTGAAATGCTAAGTCTACATTAACAAATGTGAATGGGCCCAACATTGATTACATGTGAGAACCCCATCGAGGGGTTCCTGCAGATTAGTTGGAGGAAGTCCCATGGAAAGCAATGGGAGGCTCCCGACTCCCACAGCTATTCACAGCTGCTCACATGTAATTGCTCTTGCTTCAATCACCTCTGAGTGATTGGCCCTAGAAGCAGACTGTCCATGTCCAGGGCCATTCACCTGCAGTGATCGCTGAGTGAATACATGAGAGTGGTCGAGATTAGCTGCGGATGCCAGCAGCTTCCCATTGCTTTCAATGTGACTGCCTGCAGCAGCTATCTCCAGGAAACCCTGCTTTGGTTCTCATATGTGTGAATGTGGCCTAAAGATATCAAGGCTTGGGTTTTGTATTGTTAAAGCAGAGTTCAACCCAGAAGTTGAAGCTCTGCTTGTTTGCCTCCTACCCCCCTCCACTGCCATATTTGGCACCTTTTGGGGGTTAAGGGGGGAGCGGGTACCTAGTTTTGGCAGGTACCTGCTCCCACTTCCAGCTCAGTTTGCAGTGGTAACGTGAGCCAGAACTTGGCCCCCTCCTTCCTCCCGCAGTCTCCTGGGAATTTCACAGGTCCCAAAAGACTGCTGGACCAATCAGGAGGCGCAGCACGACTCGCACATGTGCAGTGGGCACCAGGTTGTGAAGCCGCAAGCTGTCACAGCCTGGTACCCACAGTTGAGATGCCAGCACCGTGGATGAGAGAAGGAGAGAAGGGATGGCACGGGTGAGTATATCGCTGGACCATGGGACAGGTAAGTGTGTGTTTAATAAAAGTCAGCAGCTACAATTTTTGACTTTTAATAAACACAAAAATGGCTGGAACTCTGCTTTAATCAGCACCCTGTCCCTGAAGTGTCCCTAATAAATAAACATTTTAAAAACATTATAAACAAGTTATTCTGAACAAAGATGCTGAGAGATGTATGTGTACAATCCTGTTTCAAAGAAACAACACGGAAGTTAAGAAAAATTAAAAAAATTATTTTTAGGTGTGGTGTTTAAATAATGGGAACAGACATACACTATATTGCCAGAAGTAATGAGACACCCCTCAAAATCATTGGATTCAGGTGTTCCAATCGCCTCCATGGCCACACGTGTATAAAATCAAGCACCTTGGCATGCTGACTGCTTCTACAAACATTTGTGAAATAATGGGTCGCTCTCAATAGCTCAGTGAATTCAAGCGTGGTACCGTGATAGGTTGCCACCTGTGCAATAAGTCCATCTATGAAATTTCCTTGCTATTAAATGTTCCACGGTCAACTGTTAGTGGTATTATAACAAAGTGGAAACAACTGGGAACAACAGCAACTCGACCATGAAGTGGTAGGCCACATAAAATGATAGAGCGGGGTCAGCGCATGCTGAAGTGCACAGTGTGCAGAAGTCGCCAACTGTCTGTAGAGTCAATAGCTAAAGACCCAAAAATTTCTGAGGCCTTCAGAATAGCACAACAACAACCTGCATCACCAAGTATAATGCAAAGCGTCGAATGCAGTGGTGTAAAGCATGCCGCCACTGGACTCTAGAGCTGTGAAGACGTGTTCTCTGGTGGGATGAATCACGCTTCTCAGTCTGGCAATCCGATGGCCGTGTCTGGGTTTGGCAGTTTCCAGGAGAACGGTACTTGCCTGACTTCATTGTGCCAAGTGTAAAGTTTGGTGGAGGGCAGATTATGGTGTGGGGTTGTTTCTTAGAGGTTGGGCTTGGCCCCTTAGTTCCAGTGAAGAGAACTCTTAAGGCATCAGCATACCAAGACATTTTGGACAATTGCATGCTCCCAACTTTGTGGGAACAGTTTGGAGATGGCCCCTTCCTATTCAAACATGACTGCACACCAATGCATAAAGCAAGGTCCATAAAGACATGGATGAGCAAGTTTGGGTGGAGGAACTTGACTGGCCTGCACCTCAACTCGACAGAACACCTTTGGGATAAGTTAGAATGCAGACTACGAGCCAGGCCTCCTCGTCCAAGATCAGTAGCTGAACCTTACAAATGTGCTTCTAGAAGAATGGTCAAACATTCCCATAGACACACTCCTAAACCTTGTGGACAGCCTTCCCAGAAGAGTTGAAGCTATTATAGCTGCAAAGGGTGGGCCAATTCAATATTGAACCCTATGGACTAAGACTGAGATGCCATTAAAGTTCATGTGCGTGTAAAGGCAGGCGTCCCAACACTTCTGGCAATATAGTGTATATTGGGGGGTTTTCAAATTTGGCTTCAAAGGTGAAAATATACCTAAAGGATAATAAATGCCCATTGTTTTGCAGGTAAAAAAATGTGCATTTACTATTTTTTTTGTTTTAGGAGACTGGAAAGCATTGCACCAGCAATCAGAAGTCAGCAAACTGTCAGTGTAATCTGTATGGGCAGGCAGTTTTACACTGACAGGAAGAATCAATGATCTACCACAGTGCTCAACAGCATCATGGTAGTTCATTAGGAACTACAAGCCAAAAACTGCAAAGGCTGTCTGGACATGTAGTTTCCCATTCACAGAACTCTGTGAATGAATGATGTGGTTGTGCGGAGCCCCATCCGGCTGTGATTTTACAATTATGACAGCTAGCGGGGGAGAGGAGATCCCCTGCTAGCTATCACAATGGGGGATTGAGTGTGGGGGGATGCATTGGCTGGCCCTACAGTAACATATTATGTGTTACACCCTGAATATGGGTGTAACATGTTACGAAAGGTGAACTTATCCTTTAAAGTTGGCCTGCCTGCACACTGCCTTACTACAGTGCACCTTAGTAAACAATAATGCATGGAGTTAATTAAACACATGATGTGAATTAAAAAACATAATGTTTTATACTGTCAAGATGCTATACTTTGAAAAATTGTGGATGTATTTTTCAGTAAACGTAAAATAGTTCTACTTTCACAGTATATGATGGTATAGTACATATATAAATATGAGCATGTGAAAATAAATGTTTATCTATAAAAATGCAGGTACCCGCTTCTCCTATGTGCTGCAGATGCCATTTTATTGAAGAGACCTAGGAGAAGTTTGGAAATAAATTCTAATCACTAACAGTTCACAGAATAGTTTGTTCATTTCACACAAATTCTAATTACACCATAATTAAAATTTGTAAAGTAGCTAGATTTACAAAAATAAGCGGTGAAAATTTTTTCCATTAAATAATGACAAAATATTAGAATGTTTCTAAAGGCAAAAGTTTTTTTCTTACAATAAAACAGTGGTTATACTTACCTGCTCTGTGCATTGATATTGCACAGAGCTGTCCCATATCCTTTATTTGGTGGTCCTCTATTCCTTCTTCTTGCATGTGCCCCCCTAGCAAACTGTGTACTATGGTTTTCCCGAGTCAGGCTGTGTGCGTCCATAGACACACACATCGTGACACAGCCAGGCCCCCAACTCCGGATTTGTCTGAGAGCAGCAGGAGCCTATGACTCCTTCTGCTGCCTGTGGCTCCTTTGAGAAGAGGAATTTAGTGGAGTGGTACTGCAGGCAGGGACATCACTGGATCATGAGAAGAAGTGTTTAGAGGTGGGGGGAGATAAAAACTACCTTAATGTAGGGAGTATGTTAATTTAAAAAAAATAATAGCATAAAGCAACTCTGTCCCTGACAAAAAAAACTGTTGAAACAAACAGCACCTGT